ATGTGCAGTTCTTACTATTGTATTCAAATCATTTCTGTGCAGTATCCAAAGAAATGTTATTGATTTGAATAAAATGGGCGTAAGAATCTGCTATTGTCTAAAACAAGTGCGTATATATATGTATTTACATATGATCGAAAGAAATGATGCTAAAAATCATCATCTTTGTTACTAATTATTGTACTTTTAATAGCTTGCTATTTAAAAAACACTAAATAATTTTTTATTAATTGGAAATACCGTATTTGACTGCATTATAAGGCGCACCCTTATTTAGACGGCCACTCACAAGGAAAAAAGTTTGAATAGCGTGGTTTCTTTTAGTTCTCACGTTTTGTAAAAGCCAAATAAACAAGTATTGAATGCAATTACCTTCACGTATAAGACACAGGTAACTTTTTTTAGACCAAATTTAGGAAAAAAAGTGGTTTTATATGCCGTTAAATATGGTAGTACTTCTGTTACTTTTTTCTGGTAACTTTCAAACACTGCATAGTTTTTTTTTTAAATATTGCCAGTTGTGTATGTAGTTTGTTAGGTTATCTCATTTCAAATATGAGCGTTGGAAGGCTTTTTTGTTATAAGATGTAGGTATGTTTCTTGTATGAAATATTTTTATTACGTTTATTAGCTATTTATATAGTATTTCATTTACGTACGTTGGAGTTATAGAAGTTGACGGTTATATATTTTGCTCTGAAATGCGAATAAATTAATACTTGAGCTGAGGTAAAATATTAATTATCTTGAGAACCCCTTCCCAATTTATCATGACAGTGGCAATTTTTAATCAGCGTTTAAAGTTTTGGAAAATGTTCGTTTGTTCTGCGGTTCTTTCAATTATATTTATGCACAAAGTTAATTTAAATATCTGTAAAAAGCCTAAAAAGTGAAAATAATGTATATAAAGCCTCCTTTCTTTCAGCTATTTTAATTAACTAAGCAACATAATAAAGTTATATTTCCGACGAAAATTTAAAAATCCAAATGACTTTCCAACAATAACATCGGACGGAAAGCTTCGCCATGTTTATAAAGTGTCATGACCTTTTCCCTCTCGAAGGTCATGATAGGGTTCACTCTAAAGAGGCAACAAGTGACAACATGGCTTCGTTTTTAGATGCATGTCCTTTAAGTGAAACCATTCAAGATGGCAATGCATTTAAACTAATCATAATTCTAAAACTGGCCCAAAAGCAGAGGGAAAATGAAATAAGTTAAAAAGTCATAATTCTTCACATAATCGAGCTATAAAAAAAGTCTTAAGAAATCAAAATAAGCTTTTCTATTTAGTATAAAGAGTAGAATGGCCAGTAATTTCATAAAGCATGAAAAGAATATTCTTCTTTTAATTCTAGCCAAATTCAAAGAGAAAAAGAAAATTTGTATAATTACATATACATATTAAATTGCTCGTAACATTCATCCACTAGTTAGCTCCTTTTCAGGTTTGGGTAAAAAATATTTTATTGCAAACGAGTAATGTAAAAAATAAAATTAATGCCACCTTTTTTTTTAAGGTGTACAAAATTGTGAACTTTGGAATTTGATTTTCTAAGAGGATATTAATTAGGTTTTGTATTTCTTCTTGAAGATAGTTTGTATCATTGCTATATTTTTTTATTCTAAGAATTTGGGTAAAGATAGTATTAACAATAACTAGTATTAATAATAACTAAGGGGATGTTAGAATTCCAGTTGATGAGTTTTAAGGTGCAAAAATTGAAATCTCTTCTTTTATCATAGATTCTGATACTTTTATAGTTTACAATTTGCAAATCAAGGTAGACAATTTCTTGCTGTTTGTGGGCTAATATTGTTAAAGCTTGCAGGATATATATTTGCAATTCCTATTTTATTAAAGTTATTGATTGCAATAATGTCATCTCCATATCTGTAAATGTTTGGAAAATAATTACATTGATCCAAATTAAGTGATTTTTTAAATTTATATTCTTGTGTGAAGAAAAAAAGATTACAAATGGTGGATGAGATGCTCAAGCCCATTGGTATGCTTTGTACTTGTTTGAAAAATTGATTATTAAATTTGATGTAATTGTTAAACAAAACACTTTTTAGGTAAAATTTCCATTCTTCTTCGGAGACTATTGTAAGAATTTGCATAAAAAATCAGGAGAAAGAAAACTTTCAAATATTCTTCTAACGGTAAAGTGGTGTAAAGATTTTTGAAATCGTAACAAGTAATATTTTCAACATCTAAAGTGTGTAATGCTTGTATAATCTTCTCGTTGATGTAATTAAAATGGTGGTCTTGAAAATTGATATTATTGATAATGTGTATAATATCAATTCAGTTTTTTTCAGTTTACTAGCAAAAAGAAAGTGAATCTCCTTAAAAAACAATTTTTATACCATTAGCAATGAATCTGAACTTTAGTGGATTTTCGTGAAACTTTGGAAGTGCTTAGCAAATTTATTAAAGTAGCTGCTGGCTTTAATTTTAAATCTTCCATGCAAAGCTTTGAAGTTGTTGGTGATCATATTTCCTATTGTTTCAATGAATTTGAAGCTAGGGATTGCTTTGATGCATTTAACAGGCAGCAGATTTTGATGCTTGTTAAAAATCTAATTAATTTTGATTCTATCATAGAATGGGTGTTTGAAATGAATTGTACAAAAAACTTTTTGTGGATAAATTTATTATTACACAGTTTATAATCACAAAAGTCGACTACTAGATCTTAAGTAATTTGGTGGCCTATGTGTTTCTCCCTAGAAAAGTTGAGCATTTTCCATAACATTATTTTTGAAAGTGTGGAATAATTTAAATAATATTTTTGGTGAAAGACTTTTCATTAATGTATCTATTAACATTTTTTACGATTTTATCAACTTCCTTCATGGAAAGATAGTGTCGTATACCTGTATTACTTCCTCTTTTTCATCATGATTTTTTACTAAAGATTCTAAATTGACTGTAGAAGTCTTCTTTTGTTACTGTCTGCAGTCTGATTTAAATATAAATTGAGCCCATAAGTGTAAAGTGATCTGTTCTGCAAAAGGCTAATCGATTCTCTAAAGAGTCTTAATTTTAGTTCAGGAATAATATCCAAAATAGCGATTTTAATATTGTCAAAATTATGGTACTGAAAATGTTGCAGAATGGCTGTGTTGTATTTGTTGTTATTGCCAGCTTGGATATTCCTATATTTTTTATGTGTGACCTATGGGTTTTTAATTCTGAGATTGAGGTGTTTTTTTTTTTTTTTTTTTTTTTGACCTACATGAATTAAATTATATTATTTTCAAGTGATTTGGTAAATACAATTAAAAGTTTTTCAAAGTGTTTGCTGTTGTTTTTCTTGAAGTGGTAAAAGAGGAAGCTAACCTGCTTTAAAGTTAGTTTTTTTGGGGAGGAAAACTAGAACCTGTTGTGGAAATCGAAATCGTGGAAAACCCACAAATACCTTTACAGCGAAAAATAGAACACAATCCTGTGAAATAAATATATATACACATTTGTGCACACAATTCACGTGCTCTATTCTTGCCTATTTCCAGAAATTTTATATTGGTTTTGTTGTGATAGAAAGTGAGCCCAATGAAATAATGTCCAAGCGGCACAGAAGGAAGGGGGGGCGAACTAAAGTGCACAATTTTCCAATAAGAAAGGTCATGAAGAGAAGGCTTTGGTTTAGATTAGAAAGTTTTCAGTACTCAAAATTTTGAGTTCGAGTTCCAAATAGCCTACGTCACCAGTGTTATGCAAGCCATGTGACATAGATTAACCTAGAAATAATGCAGTCCAGAAAAATTATTACTATTTTTAGAATACAAAGAGGAAATACCTAAATTAAAAATGAGGGATTAAGAGGCTATTGTTAAATTAAATTATAAAGCTAGCTGATTTACAAAGATTACTGATTTCTAAAGCATTTTTATCTTGCATGTATATAACCATTCTGTTACCAGGCTCGGCAAGTCCCTTGCCCCCCCCTTTTTTTTTGCTTGTTAGTTATATGGTGCATTTTTTGCTTTTGAAAGTGATTGAATTATGTTACAGTTAAAATTTTTATGCTTTTAGTCAATCTGAATGTAGTAGTTGTAGAATTATCAACAATTAAAAAGTTGTGTAAGTGCTGCTAAGTCTAATGAAGCTGCCATTCGTTTACATTTGAAAGTGATTTGGTCATTTGAAAGTGATTTGGAATAGTGAATTAAGTCAGTGTGTGCACCAGCTTTAGTGTCTTTTTGCCGAGTGGGACCAAAAGTAAACTTTCAGTTTTGCGAACTGAAAAATCTTGTCTTCCTGCTCACTGGATTAATTGATTGATTTTCCCTAGAAAGTCTAATTTTAAATGTAAAATTGTTTTTTAACTCTTGTTAACTGTATTTTACAATTTTTAATGAAGATGTTTTGAGTTTTTATGTAACTGCGAAGAACTGAACTGATTGAATAAGAAATATATCTCTAATGAAATTCGAGGAAATAAGTTTAAATGAAATGCCGAAAAAAAAAAATGTGTAGAATTTAACCCCTTTGTGACAGCATGTTGCTGAACTCTGCAGATAGATGTGTCATATATACATCAGTCCCAAATATCGCTAGCAGCCAGGTGATGCACTGGTGCATCACACATTGCACTGATGTTTACCCATTGCACCCATCTCCAAGGTTAGTTGTGCTAAGCGGCATGCCGCCTGATAAGAGCTGCTGATGCATATATGATACATCCATCCTGAAGGGGTTAATAGGCTGTACAAGGAAATCATGGTATCCACATCAAGTTTTTTAAAGTAAATGATAAAAAATTTGTCTTATGAGATGAGGTGAAAAATTAATTAAAATTAATGCATATGCAAGTTTATTTTGGTCACTGTCATTAATTGTGCCAGCTTTACCACAACTTGATGTTTTATTTTATATAATCAAATGAGTATGATAATCATTTAAAATGTATTAAGTAACAGAGCAATACAGCTTTGTGCATGCTTGTCTTCATAAATTGATGAAAGCATTATTGTATTGAACTGTGTAACCTTGTCTCTTAATTTTCTTTTTGATATTGTAGGTGTACCATTCAAATCTTATGCCCCTGGAATGGACAGCGGCTAAAAGAGAAGGGAATGTTTGCTATGCCAAGTTAATATGCTTAATTTCAGAAAATGTAAGCATAGAATTTGTGGTACTTACGTATTAACGCAACCAGGCCAAAATTCGCATAAATCGCCAAATTTGGCGACCCTACTTACGGCAACCCTACGTGTTTAGACGAAAGTTTATTTGTAAAAAGAAAAAATAACACTGGACGTATACTACCACAGCAATGGGTTTTCGGCGGAATTTGCCGAGAAAAGAAGAGACTTTTTGGTTACTGTTACCTAACAGAAGCGCTGTTACCCTCATGGAAAAAATTTGCGAAAATATCAAGGAAGGAAGCATCATTTATTCGGATTGCTGGAAAGGATACAATACAAGTGAGTTCGAAAATGCTGGATTTCTGCATGGAACTGTTAATCACAAATATAACTTTGTGGATCCCAACACGGGCGTTCACACACAACATGTATAGCGCATGAGGGACTCAGCCAAATGGCGCAACAAAAAACAGAGAGGAACAGCCCGTCATCATCTTGACTCATACTTTATCGAATTTATATGGCACCAAGCTCAAGCTGTTAATGGCGAAGACGGTTTTCAATCAGTGCTAAAAGCAATAGCCAAAAGATTTCCGCCAAAAAAAATAATTCTGCAACTTATTCAAATTCGAAACCGGAAGGGTTTAATTGCTATTTTATATTTTAAAACAAAAATAATATAAAAAAACTATTAAAAATTATCTGTAATTAATAAATGTACATTTTCTTTCTATTCATACTTTTTACTCAAAACTTACAAATCGCGCCAACCTGGTTGCGAATAATACATAAGTACCGAATTTGTTTGAAGTCAAATTTTATATATATATTAAGAATAAATAAATCTTTTTTTTTTTTTTTTTTTTTTTTTTTTTGCAAAGAATTAGTTTTCATATCTTGCTAATAATGACAAATAGTTTGGTAAGTAAGAGTATTTGTGGAAATATAGTTCATTTAACTGCAGAAATCATAAAATTATTTAATGTTTCAAAAATTTTCATTTCATTATTATTTTTCTTAAAATTTTTAAGCTTACTTATAATATCTGTTTTTATAGTTTTGATTAAACAAAACAAAAGCATGTCTGGTAGTGTTATTTATTTATTTGGTAAATATTGAATATAAAATTGAAAATCCTACATTCTTCAAACATTTCATGCAACTGATATTAAGGGGGGAGAAAACTTACATCAAAAATTCTTTTTCGAGTAATGATCCTATTCAAATGTTAGTATGGACCCGAAAAAGTATTAAATATCATGTATTGAATTTGACTTGGAAGTTTCTAGAGGTAAAAGCAGCTTCAGAAGCTAAAAGTTCTTGAAAATAAGTTCTGTCATCTAAATTCAGGTATGAGATTTTAAAATAATTGATTTAATAAGCTAACCTGTAGCATCACAAAAGCCCAAAGGAAAAATTCCTTTAATTTTCAATGTTCCTGCTTCAAACTCATGAATATGTACCAGAACAAGCTGAAGACATTTTCATTTGGCCAAGCCTAACTCATTAATAAATTATCCATCTTTTTAATTGAAGCACCAGATAAAAGTGACAGAAAGAGTAAGTTTTCAATATTTCAAAACAAACTTTACTCCTGCCTGAAATCAGACATAATATTTCTGACTAACCAGCTTAGAATACTAACTTTTACATCGCAAGATCATTTAAAAGAAATCATTCCTTTGTTCTTTACAAGTTCAGTGCTGCAAAGGTCTGTTATTTCCATCAAATTTTAGGCCAAGTTTATTCTGTTGTTTGAAATATGCACTCTTTTGTTCTCCAATTTTAATCAAATTAATTTTTTTTTAATTAACCAAATGCGACACAGTTATTTTAGAATGCATTCCAGTTACAAAGTACGCATGAGGTCAGAGCACGTTCACACCCATGGAGCAACAAAGACACACTGACACTGAACTGCTCGAAAACCATAGCGCTGTGTTGCGGTTTTCGAGACAAATGAACGCAGCGCTTTTGCGCTGCATAGCAGTCAAACGGTTAACTTCTTTCAAAGAAATATGTATTTGAGTTTGCATCCTTTTTAGTTAGAAATTTTAGGTAAGGAATGAACTAACTGACACGAAAAAAATCATTACTTTCTTTTCTTTTTACTTTAATTAATAGTATGTATGTTATAATATGTTAAAATTTCTTTATCATTGGAAGCAAAGTAATGAGTCTTATTACTTTTTCTTTCATATAAGAAGCTTCAATAGCTTTGAGTTATGCATTTTTTTGATGGCATGTGTTTGAATTTGTTGCTTAATTGTTTTGCAGCTCTGTTATAAATAAATAAATGGTTCATCATACTGTTATCTGCATTGTCCTAAAATGTTAGTAGTTCCAATGGAAAATTTTTTATTATTCCTCTTACAAACCTTATTTTACATATAATGACTTCTGTGTCTCTGTCACCTAAAATGGATTAGTTCTCAGCATTTTGAAAAAGTGATGAGTGAAAATTCAGTGCTTAAATGGCTGACATCCCATGTAGTGAAATTTTAGATACAGAATTATGAAAATCTTATTCATCACTATAAAAGGTGCTTAGGGGAGCATTAGAGGAGAATGGTAAAATTTAGAAAAATAGGTTAGGCATAGCAAAATTTTAAACCAGTAGCTAAAATATTTTCCTTCTTTTTTTTTTTCCTATAATAATCAAACAATCCTCATTTTTGAAATATGTGAAATTTTATGGACACTTTTGTACTCTTTTCAAATACAGTGAGCTTATAAAAAAAGTTCATTGTGCTTCAAAGAGTGATATTGAATAAATGAGTACATATTTTAAAAATGAGGACTTTTTTAATAAGCATTTCGAGTGCAATTTTCATTCGTGTTTATATCTTACATTTTTCATGAAAATGAGACAAATAGTTAGATATTTTTAAAGATTGTAATGTTGTAGTTAAATGAATTTTTTACTCTAATTTTAGGAAAGAGTTATCGGATTTCATTATTTGGGACCAAACGCTGGGGAAGTTACTCAGGGATTCGCAGTAGCTTTGAAAAAAGGAGCCACCAAGGCAGATTTTGATTCTACTATAGGAATTCATCCAACTTGTGCTGAGGTAATAAACTGTGAATTTATTTTAAACTAATTTATAAGCTTATCAGTGTGCATGATAATAGGGAAATATGTAGAAGCTAAACAGCACGTATAGTAATCAGTGTTGCATATACTTTGGCAATTTTCTTCTGATCATTATATATACATACATAGAATATATTTAAATATTAACACCAAAAATGCTATTAGTCCTGAAACTCACTTTTGTGTCCGATTATCTTTTTAAATCATTGCCATCAAGTGTTATTGTGATGTATTATTTAAAAAAAAAAATTAAATAGTGAAGAATCTGTATGTGAATGTTTGTTCTTAACATTGGGGGGGGGAACAATGGCACCTTGTCACCAGATTTTTAATACACATAGTCCTCCATCATGTGCACTTCAAAGCACAAATTTTAAATTTCAAAAGAATCTGTATATAAGATAAAAAATATGTAAATCAGCTTTATAATTTAACTCTTTCACAACCAATCCGCCCGACACGGCCCTACATTGAAACAACCAGAACTGCCCAAACACGGCCGAGATTGTTATCTTGTTTTCTTTCCTCCCCCTAAGGTATGCAGTAGGAGGTGCATTTTCTTTAAATGCATTGTATCAGTTTACTGCAGACAGCTTGTCCTAAGAGGTTTCTTATCTTTGCTTGCTCGTGACATTTCGCTGTTGATTCTTTCGTGGTACAGTGTGCTGTTAAGCTTTAAACAGCATTAAAAGTGCAGTTTAAAAATTTAAGGATTATATTTATTTTTAATCAATTTATTCCTTCCTATAAAAATAATGGAAATAAACAAAATCTAAGTCGTGATCATAACAAAGTTAGAAAAACTTGTTGGGCTGACCTTCAGAATAGTTTTATAAAGAACAGGGTTAAAGGCTAGTGGAATCTTTGTTAGAAATTACAAAGGATGTTATCGAAATCTTCACACCTATTTTCTGCGTTAATGGACGGGGAGGGGAGGAAATTGCTGTGAAATGGAAAAAGTGTTTCAGGCGGTTCGGGTATTTTGAGAATACAGTTTAGTCAAGGGTCTGGATTTCAAAGAGTTAATTTAGTAATAGCCTTTTAATTCATCATTTTTAATTTTGGTATTTCCTATGTATATTCTAAAAGTAGTAATAACTTTATTGAACTGCCCCATTTCTAGATTAATCTGTGTCGCATGGCTTAAAAGTCTTTCGTAAAAAGTGTTGTCAGTATAAACCAAAATTTTTGTTTACATATTCATGAAATTTGTATTAAAATTAATTATTTAACACTTATAAACCAATCCACATTTTCTTAACTGCAAAGCAATGTAAAATGGAGTTTAGAATTTAATAAACTTAGAAGAGTAAAAAATAATAGTACAATAGTAAAATAGACTTTGATAAAAATGGGCAGGTCTTCTAGAGTGCAAATCAGCATAACGAATTGCTGATGGCTATGGGGTGCTCAATTACACGTAAAATCCTCTGTTGCATACTGAAGGTAACTGGCCTTTAGTAAGATATAGTAAACTTTATAAAAAGGCTATCAGTTGTAGGTACTCGGGACAGTTCCAAGAAACGAGATTCTAGTAGTACTGCTTTAAGCGGGAAGCTTCCGAGAAATGTTTCGTCTAGCTAGGAGGAACATGTCCCGGCTATGAGCAACATTTTGAAACTTTCCCCAAAATGTTCCATCTGGAGACGTTTTCCTCGTACATTCAACCAATCAGATGAAAGTTCTGCTTCTGAAGGATCACGGGAATTTTCAATATGGCGATGGCTCTCACTGTGAAGTCATGGACGGTGGAAATAGAGGCCAATTTAACTATTGCTGCTTTGTTGTAATATAACTGTGTGAGTCATTTTAAAAATGTTTATATATTAATTAAATATATAATCAAGGAAATTTCAGAGTTGACAGTATTTTACGACATTCTTTCAGTTCGGATTTGTGTACAAATTGTTCGTCGCCAAAAGTCAAACAACTCGCACATGTTTGATTGCTCATGTATTCCTATACTTTATTTAATCTTCATTTTCCTGAATAGTATCTGCTGGCTGTGAGGATGTAAATATCAACCATATAGATTTTTGTCATAGAAGTTCTTGTTTTGGTTGTTTGTTTGTTTTTACTAATGGACAGAAGAGTAATTATGAGCCATAAAGTTAGTCAAGCAAATGCTTTCACCAGGTCACAAATTTTCCAGTGAGCCATCAAATTTTCATTGGAATACAGACATCAGAAAATACACATAAGTAATGTCTGATAAAACAGATTTATCCACCACACGTTTTAAACTAGTCTTAGTGTATACAGAATTTGGCTATTACTGATGTAATTAATTGCTATAACCAGAAGTGTGTTTATCTGTTACATGAAGTGCCAGAGTGGAGATCAAAGTGATTAACTTGATAGCAATCACCTTTCTATTATCTTCCATAACTAACTATAAAATTTAAAACGAAATGATTGTGAGCGATACAAAACAACATGAAGAAGGAAACGTCACTTTCGCCAATCTGAGTGATAACTGATTCTTGTTTGGCTTTCAACCTGTTTATGAAGTGAAGATATTAACCTGATTTCTCGGAAAAGCGATTCTCAGAACTGTTCTTCAAACATTTTGTTCCGGCAACAAATATTGTATGTGATAACAGCATAAGTCATGTGCATAAAAATTTTCATATTAGTTAATACAAAAAATATACAAAAATTAAAGTTTAAGACATATGACTTGTGGTTCCCAGACATTAGCTCACTGGATGAAAGCACACAAGACAAATGCCCAACAAAAAAAAAAAAAAAAAAAGCCCACTGTGATAATTGCCCACGTGACAAATACCTACAGCGATGAAAGCGCACATTGATAAAAACCTGCGCTGATAAAAGCCCACATGATCAAAAGGGACTTAAGGTTTTTTATTGCTATAAAATGTATTTAAAATTTTAATTATAGTAAATGGAGTATTCAGATCTGAATTTTAATATCTCAGAAATAAGTCTTTGTATATTTTATCACTTCTTTATTTGTTTATTTTATTAGTTTAAAAGCAAACTTCCTGCTCTCTGATTCAGTGATTAGATATAACGTTTCGATAATAAATCTGAAAATGAATTTTATTATTTATTTACTTATTTAACTTTGGTATGTGTATGTGAAAATAAAATTTTATCTCCCATTCTACTGGGCCAATTGACGAATTGAAACTGCATTTTTCATGTCTCGAAAGCGTGACTTAGGATATATATAGGATTTTTCTAACATACGTATTTTGACACAAAATCGGACTTTTTCTGAATAACATGCCAATTTTTTTTGCATATTTCGATTCTACGACTCAAATTATGCCTAAATATTAAATTTTGTAAAATTTAATTCAAAATTTGCATAGTTCAAACGTAGTTTACATAGTTTGGTGCAAATTACATAGTTTGGTGCAGTTCAAATCAATGAATAGAAAATTTAAAAACTATTATCTGAAAAGACAATACAGCACAAACAATGAAATAAAAGTCTAAAAATTTAAAAATTACATAAAATGGTAACTGACTAAAAATATAGTACAGGGGAAAAAAAAAAAAAACTATTTGAAAAATAAACGATGCCCCTTTTATTTAAACTATGCAGTTCAAATGAGTAAATAAAGATTTTTAAAACAGTTATTTGAAAGAAACCATACAACTTAAACAATTAAAATGAAATTCAAAAAAGAAAAAAAAATATATTTAAAATAATAGCAATTATAATTAAAAATATAATATGAAGAACATTATGAATAAAAGAATGATGTGACTTTTTTCTGCTTATGCACAATGTAAAGAGGGAAAGAAAAAATGGTCACCATATATTAAGATGTTCGCCATCTGAACTATTTATTCTTGGCGCAATCTGAAAAAAAAGGCAAAAAAATTAAATTTTTTAATTTCTCCATAATTTTGGTGCAAAATTTGAATTATACCTTACTTGTTCTTACTAACTTCTGTTTAATGAATTATTCTTAGGAATGAACTTTAAAAGCTGGTAAAACATTTCATGCTAGTAAACAAGATATTAGAAACTTTTGAACTCATTCAATAAAGGAAAAAATTATTCAAAACATAGCTCCATAATTATGCATTTTTTCTACTTGATCGCCAACACATGAGGCTTAAGAGAAATATCTCCTACAAGTTATGTGATTATTTTTAAGCGTTCACAGTTAATCGAATAACGTAACATTATCTATTGCAATAAAATTAATTTTTAATGTGCAAGATTACTTTTCTTACAACGCTGGGCTTATGGGCTCCTCTTATTTAAAGTATTTCACTAATATCTAATAATTCTCTAATTTAAAATGAACCAAATAGAGCATTAATTATAAATTAACTTATATTTTTCGATTTAAAAGATGCCTCAGAAGCAAAAAAATCATGTCATATTTAAGAAAGTATTTTAGGAAGAAGCTCTATAAATAGAAAAGAAATAATGCTAATTTTAATATTATAATACAGTAAACTTTGATCTTAATTTTGTACCTTAACCGAATAAATTCGAATTACCTAAAAATTTTTTTTAATGTAATTAACGAAAACTTGTGAAAATATTCATTCAAATTAAACCATTCTGAGAAAATGTTCTGTGAAAAGTATAGCATTTAATTCCGTTCAGAATGAAATGTTGTTTAAAAATATGTTGTTTTCATAGACTTAAGACTCTGAAGTGTTGTAGAAAAAGAAAATATATATATATTTATGCGTATATTTACGATGTAATTACAAAATATTTACATCCGATTGCGTCAAAACCCATTAAACTTAATGGTAAATGACCCAATGTTTTGGTCACCACGTAGGGATCGTCAGTGTGCTTCAGAGCAGGGTACGGGAGAAACCTGTTTAGGGCTACTCCATCTTACTTCCTACCTAAATGTTCTACACATAATTTTGATATTAACAAAATTGTTAGTATCACTACTGATGGAGCTCCAGCCATGATTGGAATTCAGAATGGCATGGTAAGTCTACTGAGAAGCCATTTGGATGACAGAG